CCGAGATCCCCACCGAGCAATGGGCTCAGGTTATCGAGAAGACTGGAGGCCGTATGTCACGACAGCATCCCTCATAGCTCGTTCATATATCGCTAACATCATACTCTAGCCGCCGTCTACAAGAAGATTCCCGTCCAGAAGCCCGCCTCTGATGAGGTCTTGATCAATGTCAAGTACTCCGGTGTCTGCCACACCGATCTCCACGCCATGATGGGCGACTGGCCCCTCGACACCAAGATGCCCCTCGTCGGTGGCCATGAGGGCGCCGGAGTCGTCGTCGCCCGCGGCGAACTCGTCAAGGACGTCGAGATTGGCGACTACGCCGGTATCAAGTGGCTCAACGGCTCCTGCCTGGCCTGCACCTTCTGCCAGGACGCCGACGAACCCCTCTGCCCCCACGCCCTGCTCTCCGGTTACACCGTCGATGGCAGCTTCCAGCAGTACGCCATTGCGAAGGCCGCCCACGTTGCCCGCATCCCCAAGGACGTCAGCCTCGAGGCCGTGTCCCCCGTCCTCTGCGCCGGTATCACCGTCTACAAGGGTCTCAAGGAGTCCGGCGTTCGTGCCGGCCAGTGGGTCGCCATTGTCGGTGCCGGTGGCGGTCTCGGCTCCCTGGCTCTGCAGTACGCCAAGGCCATGGGCATTCACACCGTCGCCATTGACGGCGGTGCCGAGAAGGGCGAGATGTGCAAGAAGCTCGGTGCCACAGAGTACGTCGACTTCACCACCTCGTCCGACCTCGTCGCGGATGTCAAGAAGGCCACCCCCGAGGGCCTTGGCCCCCACGCCGTCATCCTCCTCGCCGTCAGCGAGAAGCCCTTCCAGCAGGCTACCCAGTACGTCCGCTCCCGCGGTACCGTCGTCTGCATCGGCCTGCCCGCCAACGCCTACCTCCGCGCCCCCGTCTTCGACACCGTCATCCGCATGATCAACATCAAGGGCAGCTACGTCGGTAACCGCAAGGACACCGCCGAGGCCCTCGAGTTCTTCCGCCGCGGCCTCATCAACGCACCCTTCAAGACCGTCGGCCTGAGCCAGCTGAACGAGGTCTTTGATATGATGAAGAAGGGCCAGATTGCCGGCCGCTACGTCGTCGACACCAGCAAATAGACGAACGAGACAGATCTCGGGAAAAAAATAATTGTGGGGGCGTAATGTGAACTCTTGAGAGACCAAAAAGGTTGGGGCCTTAACGGCGGCGGTTGGGTGGCGGCGGCAGTGGTTGTGTTTCACGGCGGGCGAGTGGATGAAATTTGACGTCTTTTTGTTCAAAGGGGCTTTTGTTTAGGATACCTAACCTGGGAGGGAGTTCAGCGTGTATGATACATATCTTTCTCGTTCTATTGGAAACGAGTAATGAACAAATTTGAAAACACTCTGCAGTCTTCTTTAAGCTTGTGACGCTCGTGACAAATGTTCGCCTTAGTGTAGATTGCTTGAATGGACTATTGGCCGTTCTCTGCTATTCTTGACTGTAAGACAGATGACCACATATTGATGGTTACCACGGTTCAACCCGTAAATGCTCACAAGTATCAGTCTTGGCATACATGTTCGCAGGGCAATAGGACCTTTCAGCTGATACGAAGTACCTTGAATTGTATTGTGAGCTGCGTGATCAGGACCTTGAGAGAGATTGAGCGTAGCCCATCTCATCTAGCGACTGCTCATAGTTTCGACAGTTAACGACCAATTTGCAGCGACTATGCTGACTCTGCACGTTGCCTCAATTACAACCGTAGCTATAGATTTATACATAGCTTGGTGAGTTGTGTCGGCCAAACAGTGTGTGCAGTAAGGTAGTCCGCTCTCATGGAAAGCATATCAAGAGGATAGAGCAAGACAAGACGGCAAGGCACAACACATGGTAGTTTTCTTGGGACCCATGCCAGCTACGGAGCGCGAGCAGCTCCTCGTTCGCCCATGCAAAAAGGCGTGGCGGGAAGTGGTCATGATTTTGATTCTCGTAAATAGTGGTGGTGGTAGCCTTTTGGAGATAAGTATTGGCTCGCAGTCTCTATAGCAAAAATCCCCAGATTTATGAACCACCAGGGCCGCCCAACAACGCGAACCGTCTAACAATGCTCGGGCCATACTCCTCATACTGTCATGCAAGTCAGCGAAAGCGCTCAAAATGGGAATGAATGGAAGGCTTACCTCAGCCTTGGTGTGGCAGTAGGAACGGAACTCGGGGGTCTGTCCCAGCAAACTGCCACCGAACCAGGGACCATGTCTCTGCCTCTTGTGCGTGATGACTTGAACTTCCAAGCCACCAGACTTAGCACCACCGCTGCGAACCTCACTGGCTCGGATGCGGGCATCAACCAGCTGCTTGATATCTCTCTGCAAGCGGCGACCGAAGTCCTTGTACAGGGTGCTTCCGCCGGAAAGGACAATGTTCTTGTAGAGACCACGACGCACATCAATAGGGGAAGCCTGAATGACGTTGTCGACCACAGTGGGGAGGGGCGTGAGGAAGTCGGAGCTGTAGATTTCGGGGTTGAAGAAGATTTCGGGGGCGAGGAAACGCTCGTATCCGACGTCGACGGAGACCTGACGGCCACCAGGGTGAAGCACCGGGTGCTTGATGAAGCGGGTGGGGTCCCGGTCGTAGCGAGAGAACTCCTTGACGATATCGGGGCAGACGTAGCAGTGCTGCTCCTTAATCTCCTGGGCCGTCTTGAGCGACGAGTCCGGCTCGCCTCTGTCACGCAGCAGCGACTGCACGAAGTAGGTCAGGTCGCGACCTGCGATGGGGATCGACTTGATGGAGGATCCGATAACGTATCCCTCAGCGACAGGGATAACGTGGGTAACACCGTCACCAGAGTCAATGACCGTACCGGTCAAAGATCGGTCGTGGACCTTGGAAGAGGTCCATGAGGCGGCAAGGGCGAGCACAGCCTGGACGGCGATGTACAGACCGGCGCAGTTGAAGGACTCGAAGAAGATCTCGGCCGTGTTCTCGCGGTTCTCGGGGGGGTTCAGGGGCTATGACAAAGTCAGCTTGGACTCCTCCGCTGCTTATAGTAAGGCATGCCGTATCGTACCGGTTCGGTGAGGAGGAAGAAGTGATCTTCGGGCTCTACGCGGAGGTACTTGAAGATGGAGTTGGACCAAAATCGTTCCATGTGATCCTGCAACCGGTCAGCCCAAGCCCAGCACAGTTGACGCCTTGATATAACGAACCCAGTTCTCTATTTGGCCGTGGCGAATAGGGTAGTGAAGACCATATCCTGAAATCTTGGTCAGTAGCTGTCAACCAAGAACACGTCCGTCGCATCCAACTAACCAGGTCCTCCAGAAGCAGCAATGGCCTCATCACCAATGAAGAAGTCGAGGTCCTCGGTTCCGCGCTTTGAGTTCAAATGGCCGCCGGAACCTGCGCCGCCGGTCAGGAAGGATGGCTTATTCGCGACAGCTGGACGGCCGGAGCCCGTTCCTCCTGCACTTCCAGTAGCACCTTTCGTCGCAATGGCGGTTGGGAATACGAAGGACGGGGAGTCGTTGCCGGCGAAACCTAGTTAAGACATTAGAGATATGAATCGGGATACGCGTGATAGAGCTGTTCAATTGGCGTACCGAGCTTCGAGAATCCCGTGCCGCTGTTGAAGACCTGTTAGCTGGCGATGGTCTCACTGACGTCTGCCTCGGGGGATGCGGGGCAGGGTGACATTGGTGGCTTACTTGTCCATGACAACGGCAGGCGTTTGGTTCGCCATCGTAAATGTGTTTTCGGATGCGCTCAGGGAGACTCTAGCTCAGGTGTAGCATCAATGAAGGGGTGAATAGGCCGTCGATGTGTTGGATGTGTCGTGGAGTTGATTACGACGTACGTCCCAAGGTAGCCGGAAGTGTGTGCCTTGTCACCGATGGAAGCTCCCAACCTGCGGCTGTGCATCAGAGTGGGTGGATTCTCCAGCCATGGGAGAGGTCGGTGCCCCACCACTAAGCCCCACCAAGACATCCAGGAAGGAAAGACGGTGTATGTTTGTGTGCACTGTTATCCAACACTGTAATCAACTTAGCTAAGCAAGTTGTACTGGATATTCTTCGAGATTCAACGACACTTGATCGCTCATACCGCGAGGCCTATCAAGAAATATAGAGCCTTTCTTCTGCTGACGTGAACTGAAATTCAGGGAGCCTCTATTCTGCCTAAGATTAAAAACCGTCTATTTGAGTTTTTGAGTTAGATGCGGTTGGACAAAGTGAAAGACATCTACAATCTCAGACTCGCTGGGGGTCAGTCTGGTCCTTTTCACCTGTGCTGGAAACTCCAACATTGATCAGGCATCTGCTCTGATACCTCATTTGGCAGTTCAACCGAAAGAACTCACCTCACTGTTTTCCCTCATTTTAGCCTTGTTAAGCGAACGCGTGGCTTCAGGAAAGAGCCTGGACACACTAAGTCCCACTGAATGCCCTACAACCGCCTTGCACCATCGACCCTTCCTTCTTCAATAGTCGGCACTTCGGCTTTGCTGAACTGATGCGGAAACCCCCCTAGACCTCAAAGTCTTGCAGCTTCTCCTGGGCGATTCTCCCAAGCCACACTCCTCACGCCTTATTTCTTCTTTTTACCTAAGACCATCTTTCCGCTCCATCTCTTGGATGGTAGTCGAACGGCCCCGCGGGACAAGCCTTCAAACATCGTTGCGTCCTAGCATTATATCATTCGGAGTGCCTTGGCTAGTTGCTACAGCCGTCAAGTCTCAACAGTACGACTTCGGGCCTGGTTCTCAATAACACCGTCGACTAACCAATCCGTCACCTCGAGTTTTATCTCCAAATTATCGACTATCATTTCCTACCAGGCCACACTTGAGCATCACTTTCTTTGAACTCAAGGCCACACTGCGCTGCAGCCAATGCAAACCACAAGCTCGTAGCCAGCAAAACCATCCCCACAGACATAACCATCAAGTGTCTTCCGCGCCAGCGACCGAAGGGGAACTCCCAGGGCTCGGAATACCAAGCCCGGCCGGGCTAAAAGTGGAATGGAACCGCTGGCCCCTGAGATCAAGCACAACCCAGCCACCACAGCTGCGGGACGTGAAACAAACCCTTCGGAAACCACCAACGTCCAAGGTCACAGAAACACCCGCCCCCAAAAGGTGGGAGGCGCTGATGGCACAGTTGACCGAGTGTTCAAGCGGAAGCACAAAGGAAAGTTTACGGGTGCTATTTTCATCCACGCCGGCGCCGGCTTTCACAGTCATCAGAACGAGCGAGTCCATCTGGAGGCTTGCAGCGAGTACGTTGACTCCCAGAGCTTCATGAAATTAATGCTAACACTATCAGTGCGGCTTCCATGGGAATGAAATTCCTCAAATCAGGTGCCACTGCAACGGAAGCTGTCGAAGCTGCCCTGCGTGTCCTCGAAGACAAAGAGATCACCAATGCCGGTTATGGCTCTAATCTGTCAATGGACGGGACCGTGGAATGCGATGCAACTATCGTTGACCATTTAGGAAGAAGCGGTGCCTGCGGAGCAGTTCCCAGTTAGTCAATTCATGATCTATAGAGCCGAGGCCATGACTGACATCAATCCTACAGACATTAGAAACCCAATTTGTCTCGCAAAACTGATTCTGGACAAAAGCAACCAGCCGTTATCGTTGCGTCGAGTACCACCAAATATTTTGGTAGGAGAGGGCGCCAAAAACTTCTCGGTGGAAAATGGGATGCAAATCGTGCCCAATGACTACCTAATTTCCAAGAACGCGAGGGATCGATTCCTGCGCTGGCAGGATGACCTCAAGCGAGCGGAGGACAAAGTCAAGCAAGCAGGCGCCCGCAAAACACTCGAGGAACCAGCTGAGAACTGTCAACAGTATGACAATATGCCGACAACCGTTCCCTCCCGGATCTACCAAAGCCAGCAGAGAGACCATGCCAATGCTATTCTCAATGGAACATGGAACGAGGGCCAGCCAGATTCACCCCACCGAGGCTCGCCAGTGCCCGAGCAGATGCAGGGCTATCCTCGGATTACACCCCCGAGAGCGACGATTGAGAGGTCCCCATTGAGTCACGTTGGAGCCTCAATACCCTCCGTCAACAGATCTCGGCCTCACATACTCCAAGGGAGAGACCCTCTGACGTCCTCTTCCAGCCACTTAGCGGAAGAGGGAAATCGTGACGGTACAATGTCGTCTCAGTGGACAGACGGGGCTAGACATGCCAGCACAATTGCACAGTTGCAGGGTTGCAGCCCTCGTGGACTTAAGAGACCGTTTTCTGCGACTGAATTGGATCATGAGGACGTCATTACCGACACTGTTGGAGCCATAGCTATCGATGAAAGAGGGAACATTGCGGCAGGTTCATCCTCTGGAGGCATCGGAATGAAGCATCGCGGACGTATAGGCCCCGCTGCTCTGGTTGGCATCGGTACTGCTGTCGTTCCCTGCGATCCGGAAGATTTAGACAAAGTCAGTGTTGCCGCGGTGACCAGCGGTACGGGAGAGCACATGGCCACCACTATGGCGTCTCAGCGGTGCGCCGAACGGATCTATAGCAGCACCCGTCGTGGGCCGAACGGCAGAGACATTGAAGAGTGGGACGAAGACGCTATTATGGAATCTTTCATCACGAATGACTTCATGGGCCACCCTGGCGTCAAAAATTGCAACTCAGTCGGGGCGATTGGTGTGATGACGGTCAAGAAGACGCGGGCAGGGTACTACTTATACTTTGCCCACAACACTGACTCCTTCGCACTCGCCTCGATGGGGGGTTCCGACAAGGAGCCCGTGTGCGTCATGTCTCGTCTTGGAGAATCGGCTCAAGTCACGCGGGGCGCTCGAAGAATACGAGTTGATCTTGGCATATGAACGCAGGGACAAGGACATGCTTGGCCGGGGGTTGGATGAGCATAACCAAAAATGGTGAGTTTAGACGGTACACTTTCATGGTCAAATGGCTCAGAGTTGAACAGCAACACCGCTAGACCTGAGAGAGCCAGGAGCGGTTGTAGTTATTCTTACTTGGTAGTGATACCCCTTCTCAGTGCAGCATGCATTCCTCCTAGAGCATTATCTGGAGGGTAATACAGGTAGTAAACAAGAAATATGCTTCAGGCATATGATTTCCCAAAGAAATAAAACGTTTATGAACCATTGTTCAGAATTGCAATTGCATCCTCTCTGTGGAGGGAACTCTATCGTGCTATTATATGTCCTCAACGCCCGATCCAGTCCAATTACAACGATAAGCCTTTATCTGCCCAATGCCGTGCGACTCTGAGCGACCTCAAAGTGCGAGATAGATCCATGCGATTCCACGCCTTGGTACCTGATGCGATGGACTACGTTACTCGTTACGAGTGTCGAGGAACTGGGTGCCACTCGCGATTTGAATCCACCTTGAATCTTTGGAAAAGCATCCAAGTTGAGAAATCCATGGGCAGCAGGCTAGCAATATCGTGTCGTGCTGGCCGCCTATGAATCACTTACACCGCACTCCTGGTGATGTTTCCAAGCCAAGGCCAGCCCGCATTTACCATTCCTTGAACGATGTCCATGCTTTGTGCTATGTGCCTTATCCCGGACGAGGGGTGCCCGCCGCGCTGCCCGTTTCCTCCCTGATATGGCCGTTCGCCAGGACCGTCTTCTTCTTCTTCTTTTTCCTTCGCGGTATAACGGCAGGTTTGGCGCCATAGCTGCCGAGGGAGAGCTTGGTGCCGCATGTTAGGCACTCTGAGTTTTCGGGCACGTCACAGAAGATGCTGAGGCAGATGCTGCAGACGAAGCCCGTATCGACGACGCGGCCGTGACAGAAGCAGGCGGCGCGGAAGTCGACGGTGTGATGGGTTGGCGGGATGAGGGAGGAGCGAGCCTCTGCGTCTGCGGAGTAGGCGAACATGAGGTAGCTGAGGAGGCCGCGGGGACTGGCGGCTTGCATGAAGGTGCCGTCGGTAATGTAGCTCGCCTGCTGGAGGAAGGTTGCGTCGCCGGAGAGGGCGAGGGTGTCGATGGGGATCTGGGAGTGGGCGGCGGCGAAGACGGCGTTCATGGTGGAGATGTACTGGACGGGCTCCGAGTCGGAGACGGAGAGGATGAAGATTCGGGCGCGGAGGCGGCTGAGGGCGGAGGAGGTCGGGCGGGCCACGTCGGGGGCCTTGTTGGTCTCGTTGAGGGAGAGGGAGGTCTTGTTGATGTGGGTGAGGGCGAGGGTGAGGGCGCCCGAGAGCTGGGTCGTCGTGCAGGCTAGGTCGGCCTCGGTGGTTGCGTCAACCAGCTGGCGCATCGCGGCCATGACGGCGGCCTCGATCTGGGCGAACTGAGGGAACTTGTTGGCCGAAGACTGGTTTGGCGTCGGCGCAAAGGAGTCGACGCCCGTCATTGCGACATCTTCGGAGTTTGCGCTGCCGTTTGTGGCGGCGCCAGGCTTTGAAGGGTAGAGCCATACGGCACGGTTGCTGTGAGAGGCGATGATGGCGACCTGGTTCGCATTGCTGAAAGCAAGGTGAGCGTTGACGAAGACCAGGATGTTGGCGATGGCTTTTGAGAGTGGGAGGATGTCGTTGAGGGCGGCCCAGGCTCGAGGGTTCGTGTCGATGACAATGGACAGGAGGGAGGGGGTGGCCTCGTGCGAGGAGACCTCGTAGTGGTCCGAAGCGTCGACGGCGTTCATGGCGGAGGAGGATGCGGTAGTCGACGATGGCCTCGAAGGGCGGCGGGCGCCTGGTCGCGAGAGAGTGTCACGGGCGGAGCATCTGCGGTTTGACTGTAAGAGGTGTTGGAAGCCTGTGGGTTTTATTGACTATCCAGGGACCTCGTTTGATTCGGACCCAGTCCGATCCTACGCCCTTGAAGCCAAGCGGGTAGAATTGGTCTCTTGGCGCAGTATCATTCACCAAAAAAGATAGGGCGAGCTGCTCTTCTTTTTTTCTCTGTCTCGCAGGTAGGGGTTTGTGTGAGGTGTGGTGATGCAACGAAGCTAGCTTTCATCCAGAAATATCCGTAACCCATGTGCCCGGGGCTTCAAATTGGCCTGTGCTCCGACACACTGGACGGTAGGGAAACCTGCCAAAGTTGATTGGACGGCACAGGACCGGGGACGACGGGGAAGAGGCTCCGAAGGGGAAGCGGCAGCGACTTCCATTTAGACGCGCTCCTGACGTGGGGGGCGCGTCGAGTGACAGAGACGATCGACGCGCACCCGCTCGAGGGGAGCTGCTTCCATTTTGATGAGGTAAGCTAGAGGATAATAGCACCTTGCTGTTGCTTGCGTGCTTGCCCATCTGCAACTGTGAAGCACATTCAAGCAATCCCGCCCCGCTCCTCCTCCCCTGTAACGGGAACTCATTGTTCCTTCCAAGCCTACCTACCTTAGTGGGATATACTTGTCTCGAGTATGACGTAGGTAGGCAAGCACTTACTATCTGCGTATTACCTACTGCACTCACTGTCTATCAAGCCAAGGAACGTGGGGAGACCCAGTCTGTCGACGATGCGCAGCGGGCGGTGTAAGTGTTGGATTCCAATGGTTGAGGCTCGAGAGAGTGACACGAGTCTCTCTGGAAGTCAGTCGCCAGTCTTTGTGCCAGGGCGGGCAGGGTACGCAGTGAGGGGTGTGGTCTGCTACAAATGGTAGCCAAGGAGGGGCACCCGTGGCACCTAAAAAAAGATGGGAGCACCGTAGATTGCAACAGTCAGCCCGTCCGTTGTATCAGGAGCTGACGGTTGAATAGAAACAGTCCAGTGGTGGTTCCATTGCATTGTCAGTCCTTGCTCTTTGGTACTTGAACTTACCCAGACGGGCTGGGCTTCTGGGTGGCACGGCGATACTGAATAAGGCGCCCAAGGTAAGCCCGAGAGAGGTCCCGTATGAAATCGCGACGACTCGAGTACGTACCCCACTTACCTTAAACCCCGTACCTAGGTAGACAACCTAAGATACGGGTAGGTACCAGTAACTACGTGCGCTGTGCACCTCACACCTCATTCTTTTTCCTGCTGGACTGCCACACTGGTGACTGCCCATCGACGCGCACCCACTGACCAGTGACAAGTCTCACTTGTGAAACCTCTTTGGGGTTGTCGTCTGCCATTTCTTATCTTAGCAATCAACCCTACCCAGTTCCTCCTCCACGGCCACCTCACGCCTCTGTCATCGACAGACCTTTTACCTTACCTTGTGACCAACGCATCGCACAGTCCGCTGTCGCCGCCGCCGCCCTAACCACCGCAGCAAGGTACCTACTTATATCAACCGTTCCGCCCCGTTTTGTTCTAGGCTTTTTCTGTCCGTCCCAGGTCTGTCCGTTCCTCACTCACTCAACAACACACCTTGACGTGGTACCAAAGTATACATTATCACAGCTCGCTCAACCGCTTTCCAGCCTGAGCGAACAACTTCCACAATGGCCGCCGTCACCCAAGCTTCCGCTCCCACCACGGCGCCTCCGAGAGAGGATGAGACCCTTCTCGTTCTTGCGCGATTAATGGAGGGCGGCCAGGAGGATGATGAAACCATTCGCGACCTCGACCAGCTCACCAAGCTGTTGAATGAGGACCTTCAGCTCATCCAGGCCAAGACCGGTGCCCCTACGATATGCAAACTCATCGATGGTGATTGCGTCGACACCATCTTGACATATCTCGACATGAGACAACCCGAGATTGTTCGCGCGCACGCCGTTATCGCTACATCCGCCTATCTCAAGGCCGCCGGCGACGATGGTGCCAAGAAGCTCTCCAACTTCTTTTTTGACAAGATCAAGAGGGGCACTTATGACGACTACATCGTCGCCTTTTGTGTGGCTGCTTCCACCTTCCCGGTCGTTCCTGACCTCACATCGGAGCTGTTCCTCAGCGAGGGCTTCTTGAGCTCCCTCGGCCCGTTGATGAGACGCAAGTGGAAGAGCCGCAAGGTCGAGACTGCCTGCTTGGAGATGCTCAACGCCGCATGCATGAACTCTCAGTGCCGTGATGCAGTAAACAAGTATTGCACCGAATGGCTGGAGGAGGTTGTCGACCAGGATCCCGAGGAGATTGCCAAGGAAATGTCACAGGACCCCGAATATTCCATCAAGGAAGGCTCCGTCGCCATGCGCAAGCACTCGGAACAGGTCCAAAACTTGGCAGCGGTTATCCTGGCGAAATTGAGGGTATGGTATTCATCAACAAACGGACGTGAAGCCGTCCAATCACAGATCTGACTGACTTCAGAACGAAGGCAGTGCCCACGGCGCCGGCGCTGAATGAGGACGGGCAAGGGAAGATTTCACCCGCAATCACAACCATCGAGGAGCTTTCAACGAGGTTCACCTCCATGCTCCTCAGCGAAGACGACCATGGACACCAACATTCTATCGAAGGGCTGGCCTACGCATCGATCCGGCCCGCCATCAAGGAAAAGCTGGCAGGGAATGCGGATTTCTTAAAGAAACTTGTCAAGACGTTGGCTGACGCTCCGGCCAAATCACCCGTAACGTACGGGGCGCTTAGTATCTTGGTGAATCTCACCAGATACCAGCCCAACCTATCGGAGGAGGAGAAGAAGATGAACCAGCTCAAGGCATACGCCGCCGCCGCTGGCAAGTCTGCCGGGCCCGATCCTCTCAACGACAACGACCATGTGGCAGAACGATGCCGGCGCGTTTTCGAGGCCGGGGTCACACCGGTCTTAGTAACCCATAGCAAGGGTGGTTCGGCCGCGTCACTATCACTCACTGTCGCTATCATTTACTCTCTTTCAGTTACGACATCTTTGCGCGGCAAGCTTGCTCAGCAAGGCGCCGTCAAGCTTCTCTTGGCTGCGTGGGCTTTGCTCCCAGAGTCCGAAGCCGCCGGCCGTCGCACTGCTGCGCAAGCCCTGGCGCGCATTC